TTCTATTATAATTCCTCTTTTTTAAGTGATAAAAAATTTATCTGATTTAAAATAATGCTCTGATATAAGTCTACAAAAATCAAATTACCCCTGATGAGGGGCAATTTTAAACCATGGTGCATGATTCATATCAGTTATAAGGGTCATTAAGGCAATGCTTCATGCTAAATATCTAAGCTGTAAATATTGTAGTTTCACACAATGAAATCCCCGAGGTGGGCCAATTTTGATCTCAAGAAGACATAACATGCTTTAATTTAAACACAAAATTTTGAAATTTATACAAAATGTTGACCTTGACCTGAGAAAAATAAAACCTATGCTCTCTGCGCATCGTCTCATGATGGATATCATTTTTAACAAGTAGTTTCAATTTCCTTCCCCTAGTTCAAAGGATAGAGACCAAACATAAAACTGCTAACAAGCGGGCGGGCGGACGACGTGCAGGTCCATGTTAATTATACGCAGGTTTTATAACCTTTTAAAGCGACACTATTAAAGGTTAGATAAGATTACCGACGCGTTAACATATCGCCCTATGGTTCATAATTCTGATTTAAAACAATTACAGGTAAAGGTAGAGTTTTGACTTCCCACGTGCAATGGAACGTACGCGGAAGATTCGTATAATCACTGACATCAATGAACCGGCTTAACTATATAGCTAAATCGAAACAGCAGGATGCTTACTATGGGCGTCCATTAAGGTTTCCATTTAATCTGTCTTACACCAACCCACGTGCTGTTATAACCATCATGCATTACTGTCTTACTCCTTCTGAATGTTGAAATTACCATCATAACTCATCGTCTAACTCCATCATGTTAGATGCCTTAAAGTAGCTATGATAGAACACTGTCATACAATACTCTTCATGCTGCTTTAACCATCATACAAGAATGTCTCCCTCACCCTTACCTTCTTGATGTAAAATTCTGCCTTACAACACTCAACAAACTGCCTTAACAATATTGCAAAACTGTTTCACATAACCTTTGCATGCCAATTATATTAATTATCTAATTATCATAGATAACTATACTACTCCATCCTAAATATTGCTTTTACCATCATACACAACTGTGTTACATCACCCTTTATGCTGACATAAGTATATTATAAGCGTTCTTACAGTCCCAACTTAAAGGCAACCAGAATAAGGTGTCTTGTTTAAGAGTGGGTAACTGGCTCTCTGGAATATTACATCAGACAATTCAGTTATCATGCCGAGTACTTTCTTTATTGTTCTATTATAATATTATTCTATCCTCATTTCGTTTATGATAGACATGTTTTTACTTTGATGCAGCCATTGTCTTTCAGATATCGTACAATTTCTCAAAAGGAAAGGAAGGGAAAAGTTGCCCCGTTGTAACGGGGTAGTGATTTGCTGAACCAAAACTTTTCACTGGTAGCAATGTAACCACTAGTTTTACCAAATAGCTCGATTCTACTTAAAGTGGGCAATATTTTTTAAATGTACATGTAAGGTTTCCTTGATATATTTAGAAATACTGTCAGGAATAATTACTTTACTTTTACAGATAGAAAAACAATTAGCAAGTTGATTACACATTTATTTTAATATTTTCATATACAGCAAGGTAGTAAACATGTTCGGTGCCATGTACATTGCTAAAAAAACACGCTAGTGTACATCTTTAGAACTGAAAAGCAAACTTTTGAAATCAATCATGGCACGTCGAACTGGAATGACGGTAGAAGAATATCTGACAGTAATGGAAATGATACTGGCTGGTTTGTCAGTGAGAGAAGTCGGTATACAGTTTCATCGACATGAATCAACAATAAGTTGCTTTGGGCACAGACTACAGCAAACAGGTTACGTTGTTGACACGCCTATGACAGGAAGGACTCGTAAAACTTAGCTGCAAGAATACCGTTTGTGCCACAAGCTGCGTGTCGCTCGACTCAAAGCATGCCGACCATACGTTTGTAATTCATTGACGCCAAGGTACAGTGAGATAGGGCTTGACAGTATGCTTGATTCCATCGCGGCTGGGCACGTAGACAATGCAATGGCGTTTTGTACACTGACGAATCCCGGTTTTACGTTTCATATTCAGTGTACGTGTGTGCATAAGACCAGGCAAAGGTTTTGACACTGTTAATGTCATGATTTTGGCTGGTATATACCATGATGGGGAGACTGATCATGTTACAGTGGCATGCAATCCAACCACACAAAGGAACTTTGACGAACAAAATCATCCAGCCCGTTGAGGAACCGTTAATGCAACCACATACCGTAAGTATTTTCCATCATGATGATGCCCTCCAGCACATCGCAAGTTACACACGACAAAACAATGTAAAAGTCCTACAACTGCTTGCAAAATCACCGGATCTTTCGCCCCTTCGAAACAAGTTTTTGGGGAACTTTTTTTAGGTTTTTAACAGCTAAGGAACATCGTTACGTCAATAACGTATGTGACCTTGAACACGCTTTCGATATCACTGGGTCAGAATCCCTATACAGGCTATTAGAAAGCTCGTTGCAGCAAGAGTTGAAGATGTTTTGCAGGTTTTGGCTGTTGATGGTGGGACACAACTCACACAAGGTATTCAAACTTGTGTGGCTTTTCTGTCTGACACCTTAGCATTTTCCGGTTAGACGCCCAATTTATCTAGCAATATCACGGAATGAGAAGAATGCGTATCGACTGCAATTAAAGATCTTATGTATGGTATAAACTCGTACTTGATTGCATGCTTCAATGCTAGTTCTCCAAAAGTTACTTGCTCTACTTTTTTCTATCAGTATATGTACAAAACGCAACCCATAACCGTATTATATTCTACTTTATTCTTTGATGCAATTCCCTTGCTACCTTGCAAAGGGACTATGTTAAGTTTACAACATTTCCTGCTAGAAGAACATAATAAAACACCAACGGTTATATTGTAAATAAATAAAATTGTGCGGCGTAGTTTATACAGTAAAAGTTTTCGTACACGATATATACGATATAAACAGTACGAATTTAATGCATTTGTGATACACAACTTACGAAGATGGTCGCTTGAAATACATGCATGTACGTTGTGGGTCACTCGTAAATGAAATTGTATATGCAATTTCATCAAAGTTTCACATCATATTATTTTAAATATACACAGGTAAATGAATAGACCGTCTTCTAAAAAAACAAGGGGAAATTATCTTAGTTTTACGTTTTCAAGTAGGAATACGTGTATAACAGAAACAAAGAAGAATCGAGATTAAAAAAAAGATAACACGAGCAACTAAAGGTTACATTGAACAGTAATTTTTATCAAAGTTTCGTTTTCGTAAGAGAATAAATATACATGAGTAAGCATTAAACTTCCGTAAAAAGGCGACCTTATTGTCTTATTCTTGGAAGGTATTTGGTTAGTGTATTATTAGCAAGTCTATTCAATTGAAATGAATGCATAATGTCCCGGTACAAAGCAAATAATTGCATGTTTTAAAATTAAACATACATATACTTTTGAGGCATTTATTATTCAAACCAAATAATGCGGCCGGTTTTATCAATTCCATTCAATGTTTACTTCCTTTTAAAATATACAAGCTTTTGTGAATTTTAAAATATTTAGTCCGAGGATTGTATTTAAATTTAAAAATAAATAAATAAAGATTTAATGACAATACAGCTTATAAGCTATGTATGTATTATATGCTATTAGAATGTTTCCTGCTTCCAGTTTCATTTCATAAAATAAAGTTAAACGTAAAATTTCAGCAACCGTTAATTGAACATGTATATTTGTACTTTCACAGAGAGCAAAAACCTGGACAAGTTTCGGATGATGTTTCTTTACTTCCTTGAGCTTAAGTTTCACATAAAACTTCCTCCTTAGTCAAAAATCATTATTCTTCAGAGATAGCAAATCTTTTATCTTCCCGATCGGAACACACAAGGTGACTTCATAAGTCACTTCTTATGGACTTGCCGGAGAATGCCGAATTGTTACAAATACTATAACTCACATGGTCATACTCAGAACGCTATCTTCATGACTTTTTAGAGTGCACACTTGTTATCCCGCACCTTTTGGGTGCCAAAAATTCTTCCTTTTAAATAATTATCCCCTAAAATTCAGTCTAAAATCAGGGGGCCCCCTGATTCTTTTTTTGGGTTTTTTCCCAATAATTTTTTAAAAATGATGAAAAATTTCAACTTAAACTGACTTTTTAAAATGTTCAGAGCAAATTTGCCTATTTCTTGCTTTTTTGGGCATTTATACAGGGATGAACGGGGTTATAACCGGGTACAACCCCTCGATATATATTAAAACTATAAAACACAATCCCCTAAAATATCTCATAATTAAATCTTTTGGGCAAAATTTTTTCCCAATTTATTATGGGGCAAATTTAACAATAAAATTTTTTTTTAAATTTGCATTTTGTAATAAATTGAATTTATGAATGTAATACATTTGCTCAACACACTTTCTCTTTTTAATTAATTCAGATAATGAATAACGTGAGACTTTTTTTAAAAAATATTTTAAAATAATTATATAAACCGGGGGAAAAGTTTATATAACCCTTTTTACCCCAATCCTGAAGGGCAATTTTGAAATTGAAATGGTTTTTGGAAAAATATGGGGGGAAAAAATAGTTATTTTTAAACCCAAAAAATAAAATATCACCGACGTCGGTGCGGTAATATGAAACTTGCAATGACATTTTTTCAATATGACATAGCCTCTATTTGTACCACAAATACATATTTTTGTGGAGTTTGTTTATATTGTCTTAACTTATTTCTTCCTATTGTTTTGTTATAAAGAAACTTGATTTCGTTTTTTTAGATTTGCTCTGCTTAAGTTACCGTTTATAATTTTTACCTGTCCTGAACGTAAAATGGTTTAAATTTTTGAAAAGGGGACCAAACCATATAAAAAAGGTTTTTTTTGTTTTTTTAAACAGAGGGAACTTTAATAAATAAAATTTTCAATTTAAAAATTTCAGTATTTAACTCAACGGTAAAGTTATATTTCATTTGGTAAGCATTTATTTATATACAATTTAATCTAATTTTTTCTTACATAATGAGTTTCGGAAAATTATGGGTTTTTTTCTCTTAAATTAATATGAAAAATAGAAATCACTCGAATGTATTATTCTGATTGCATCTTTTACAATTATTGAATCTAAAGATTCTTGAATAAATATATCATTACAAACAAAATGGTCTTATACAGTAATATAATTTTATTACAGGATGCCTTTTTAAACACAACAGAGAAAGAGATGGACGTCACACTTCGGGTTATCTTTCTACTGTGTTTATGTCAACTTATTTCACCTACAGCTGCGACTCCGTCGGACAGCAAATTAGAAAAATGTTCCTGGTGTCCAAGTTGTTATTGCAAGGACGAATCTGTGTATACTAATGGTTCATATTTGTTGCTTGTGAATTGCACTGATGCTGGCCTTACGTCCGTTCCAACAAATATTCCGTCGAATACCACAGTTCTCACCCTAAACGGTAACAATATCACGAAAATTGGTCCGAGATCATTCGAACACTTATCGAAATTGCTGTATCTGGATTTATCTAAAACTGGCTTAACTTCTTTACATAGTGAAACATTTGCAGGACTTGGCAACCTTAGAACCCTTGAACTAAATGGAAATAAGATACGCTACAAAATCAAGTGTATTCCTGACGGAGTTTTTGCAGAACTCAAATCTCTAACACGCCTGAACTTACAGCAAAACTTTTCCGCTGATGATGTTGAACCAAAAGAGCAATACCCCACTAAGGCTCTTTCAAATCTAAATTTTCTAGAAGAACTGCTTATTGACGGCTTGCAAAACCGGACATTTGCTAACCACATGGAGAAAATGAAACGTTTAACGTCACTAACACTTAATGGTTTTAATGGACGCTGTTCTGTAAAGAGTATAGACCCAAAAATGTTTAAGTTCTGTAAGCGGATAAGCAGCTTCACAATGATTCAAAATTTTCAAGTTGAATTTTGTTCAACAAGACCTTTTGAAGAAAACTTTCAGAATCCTTACATTTTTTTATTTAAATTTTTTAGATTTCCCGATATCAAAATTGATGGGGTTTGAAATAATTTAACCTTCCCGGGTCAGAAGCAAAATTGCAGAATTGAGGGTTATAAAAATACCCTCAAAATACAGCGAATTGGGATTACAATTGAAGTTTGGGGGCATTCAAAATTTATGAGAAAATTTTTTGGCCTTCTCTACCCTTTTATTTTAAATCGTTTAGCAACTACGAACGAGGGCCTTGCATACCCTTTCCCAGAAACATTTAAAAGGTTCTTTCTATTTTTAAAAATTTTAAAATGGTTTTTTTGGGGGATTTCCCATTTTAAATTTTTTCAAACAACAGATTTTTCCCAATTTTACATTTATAAATCTTCTATGGGAAAGTATTAAAAATTTAGAATTTTTATTTTTTGCTTTTAGGAAAAAGTCAAAAAAAAACTCTTTTCAACGGATGAAATGAAAAAAAGGAAAAAAATTGGGCACTAAATCATTTAAATTTGTATTTAACCATAATTTAAACCATTTTCTAAGGGGGAATTAAAGCAAAAAAATGGTTTTTTAATGGGCCTTTACTACTCCCTTTTAAAACCCCAGAAACGGGTCGTTGATTTTTTGGGTTTCAAGGTTTATAATTGGGGATACGAAAGGGAATTTTAAAAGACCCCATTTTTGTTTTGTAACCAAAACCCCCTTACTAAAATTAAAATTTTAGAAAAACATTAATTTTTGGGGATTGGGACGGAAACATTCAAGGGGTTAAGGGCCTTTTGGGAAACTTTTAATTTTTGGGCCCGGGAAATTTTTGCCAAAAATTTTTTGTCATTCCAGATGTTTTTCATATATTACCAAATCTTTTGTCTGTGAATTTATCGGGAAACTTTCTTGAAAATGCTTTTAGAAATGACTTACAGGGCGAAATATTTAAGAATCAGGCAAAGTTAGAATTTTTAGACATATCAGACAATAAGATAAGGACCTTACCTCAAAAATTCTTTACAGGTCTTAAAAGATTGATGAAATTGTGCATATCGAACAATTTTCTTCTGACTTTTGATGTTAAAATTAACCACATGAATTGGTTAACTTGGTTAGATATCAGTAATAACCTCCTGGTAACAATTGCCACAAGCACCAGGGAAACTCTTCTGACATTATCCCATGACACAGAGCATGACTTGTCTGTTAATTTACAGAATAACAAACTAGTTTGTTCGTGTTCTTATATTAGATTTGTCAAGCAATTCTCAGAGATGACACAACATTTTCGACGGCTAAAGTCGTACACTTGCAAATACGAATCGGGTGTTACAAAGGATTTAGCGTACGCGAAAACAATTTATGAAACTCTTCAGAAAGATTGTGCCGATTATAAAGTAACTATAATAACTATAACCTCACTTTCCTTTCTACTTGTTCTAGTAGTCGTTGGATCTTGCATTATCTATAGATATAGGTGGAAACTTCGCTATTTATACTACTCTGCAAAGATGAGGCATCGGGGATACACACCTGTGGACAGTAGCAATGATGATACAACTGAGTTTGCCTACGATGTTTTCATATCATACAGTGACTCCAACAGGAGATTTGTGAAAAATGTTCTTGTACCTGAATTAGAGGCAAAAAGGCACCACGTAAGAGTTATGGATCATATGCGTGATTTCATTCCTGGAAATTTCGTTGTCGACAATTTTTATTTAATTTTCAAAAACGAAAAATTTAAGAAAGACCATGATTTTTCATGATCCCGATTTTTTTGAGAAATTTCGTGGGCGGGCCCTGAGTCACTTTTTGCAAAAAGAAAATTTGGAGGCTTTTTTCACACAGAAAGGAACGTGCCTGTTGGTTTTGAATTCTTGAACCTGGGACAGTTTAAAAAGGGTTACCCCCCCCGGGAAATAAAGGATTTTTGGCGAAACCCAAAACCCTACCTAGAACTTCCCCCGAGGAAACCCGGACATTTAGGAAAATCCTTTTCTGGGATAGGGTGAGAATCCTTTATTATTTCAATTTGTTTTTATAACTTTTGGGGATTTTTTAAAGTTGTAAATAAAATTTTTTCACCGAAAAATTTTTAAACAGTTTTTTAAAAGAAAAACGTACGGGAAAAATATTTTTTTTTTGCAAATTATTAGGGCCCCATCGAAATTTTTTCTGGTGTTTTACATATGAATACTTAAATGTAAACAGTAAATATATATTACTTACAAAATGTGTTTTGTCATTTAACCCATTACTGCATGAGCATTTTGTGAAAGATGGCTTTTTTTCAGTGAAAAATCTCCCGTTACAAGTTCAAATTGCTATAATTGACTGGGCCATTGCCTTTGTAACATGTTCATTCTTAAATTTCCTGTTACCATAACAACGAGGGGACATCTCAAAATTGCCAAAAATCACTATTTTGCGTTGATTTTTCCATCAAAATTGATTTCAAAGTGCTGTAACTTCTCAATGGATTGCGATAGAGTCAAAAGTTTTTCAGCGTTGGTTACACATTTTAGCCTCCCACAAGTCCAACATTTTCTAGGCGATGAGGAGGGCTGTCGCCCCCTCCAAACGAGGCACATCCGCCTTCTGGCAACCCCCTGCTGTATTTTTAAAATAAGAGGCAGTCCTGAAAAAGTGGTCACTTTTTTAACAACAGTTCTCATTACAAACAAAATCAAGTGTTCTGAGCAATAAGGCATTTTTTTCACGATTTGAGACAAAAAGTGGGTGAAAAAGGCGTTGAAAGACGTGTATATCTGGTAATGGGTTAATTCGAATTAAAATCATTTTAACTTATTTTAATATAAATATGATTCAACATTGCCAAATATAGGTTTGCTTATTTCTAGATATAAAACAAGTATAATTAAGGGCTTATACAGGGTTGTAGAATAAAGTCACATGTACATATAATGCAACTTTCCAACTTTTGGATTAGGACCGTCAGCAGTATGTTTGAAGCCTTCAGTTTCCCCTTTTTCATTATTTCAGACATATGAACACTGAGAAGTATTATCAATGTTCCATCACATTGTTGAATAGCTTTCACATTAAAGAATCAAATGTCAAAATTGGGCAAGATTCGAGATCATGTGTGCACTTAGTTGAAGAATGACACAACTTGGCTAAGGAGTACTCAAAGACAAATCTAGGTCCACGTTTCATATTGACAAATATCTCAGCTTTAAGCATTATTATTTCGTATAAAAGGTTATTCGAGATATTTTCATTTAAAAGTTAAGTTACCCAACGGCGGGTTCATTTTTTAATCCAAGGGACACTGCTTGTATTACTTAATAAAGAGGCCAACTTGGCAAAGCTGCGTGTCAATAAATGAGCCCCGAGCAATGTTATTTCACAATTTATCTTCCTATATAAGTCAATTATAAACTAAATAGAGTGACCCCCGATGCAGGACCAAATAATGGCCAAAAGGTCATAATTTAAATAAATCTTGTAGAAGACCACAATATGATGCTTACATGCCAAATATCTAAGAATAATAGTTTCTGAGAAGCAGATTTTAAAGATCTATTTACAGCTCTTGAGATCTGTTAAGCAAAATTCATTAAACTTTTGTACACTGATCAAATCTTGCTATGGTCCATATAAAAACGGTCTCATATTTGGATCAATATAGGCCTGATCATGCTGAAATATTCAATGATTTGAGTTCATAGACATGATATTATATCCTATTTATATCATTTCATAACAAACACAAACTTGACATAAATGCGCATTTAATGTGATGGTTAGTGAAAAGTAAACCTCTAGTATAGAACATTAAACAGTATCAGCTATGTTTTGAATCAACTCTGAGCATTGTTCTTTCAGGGTAGAAGACTTTTTAGGACTTTTTGCTGAACATGTCTAGGTAACATAAATGGGCCAAAAGACATGACCATTTTTACACACAATCTATGTTTCTTATGTAGAGATCCATTAGACTGTGCTATATGCCAAATATTTAAGCTATTGGCATTACATCTTTATGAGAAAGACTTAAATGTAGTTTCCTACAAAACCTACGTTAACTAAGTGACCCTTTGGGCAATCCGTTTTTGACCACTAGGGCAAGATTACTTTAACTTATGTTGAAAACCATTCATGTGAATTCATCTCCAAATTCCTCCCTAGGCGTGCATTTCGCAGAAAAGACACACGGCAGGTCAAGGTCATGTCATCTCAGGTACCAGAGACGATTAGTTGACCTGTCGTGACTACCTCGTAAGGGTAGGCTAATAAGAGCCGTTTTGTTATGATGCCGTCAGAAATGTGATGCATTCACACGTCAAATGTGTAGTTCAGGAGCAGATGTTTTTCAAAGAAATAGTGGATAAGGACAAATGGTAAAAAGCAGACCCACAGTTATCACGAAAACTCACTTCTGAACTCTGTGCGAAGGTGAGCTAAAACAAAGGAAAATGTGATCACACTGGTCATGTGTTGCCGAGGGGAAGTACTGACCAAGGAACAAGTGGACCCGACATCCAAACTAGTATCAGATATTCTAGTAGTACAGCAGTAAAAAAGCCTGGGGTTCCAAATTTGAAAAGAAAAACATAATTATGAAATTTTGTTTATATTTATGACAGCAAATGGTTAATATGTACTGTTGAAGTTTATTTATTTCGGAACCGTTGTAAATATTGTATGGATCGATGCATTTCAAAAAAAGGTAAGTCAAGTGTGCAAGAATAGTATAGTAATACTTATTGAGCAATGCTTTTGTATTGAGACGCTGTAGTGTATAGTGATAGACCGTTGGTGTCTCAATCATACTTGTGCGGGTTCAAATCCCAGTATTTCCATTTTTTTTTGTTGATTACAATTCAGTTGAGAATTTGTGCTACACATGTCATAATGGCGTGCAAAGAAAATCATCTGTTTTATTGCGAACACGCAAAAGCGGTTATTGAAAGAGTTTTGAAGGTTCCATCTTACTATCCGTTACATTTGTACTTGTATATATCTTTCTTTCAGATCGTCTCTTTTTTACTCTCGTAAATAAAATCGTGGAAAATATATGTAAAAAATAAACAAGTAAATAAACAAATAAATTATAAATGAATGAATAAAATTTTAAAAAAAAACTGAAAAGACTTTATAAAAGTATTACCATTAGAAATAAGTATTACCCGTATGGGATTTGAACTTAAACCCTCCGCATGCAAAACAAGTACACAAACCACTACACTAACGGGCAAGATAATATTTTATTCAACTGTTTTCCTTGTAGTTCATTTTCGTATTTGACTTTTTCCTGCCACCCCTATGTACTTTTGTATTTAGGATTTCCCATTCTCGATCATATTTGAATCGACAATATAAAACAAAATTTATTTTCAAAACAAAAGATAATCTAACAAATCATATAATAAGAAGTAATTATAACATCTAAAATAAACAGTTTTAGTTTTCTTTAGTTTTAAGTAACATTTTTTATCTGAAAATGGGGCTGACAGATAGAACTAGAACTGTGTCCAAAGGACACGGATGCCCCCACTGACAACATATATATGGTATATAGTGAAAAAAACAACATAGGGCCATAATTCTGTTTGGTTGTCCTTTACTAAGGTTGTTCATCTCTGGCAGTTTAAGCAAAATCTGCCATCCGGTTTAAGAGGAGTTGCGTACACAAGGTTTCGGGACGTACGGACGGACGTATGGACAAGTGCAACGCTATACGCTCCCCACTTTGTGGGGGCATAAAAATATCTTTAAGAAAAAATTCATGTTTGTATACTTCTTTGGGGGTGAATGGCACATGCTTAACAGTTAAAACCCTACTAACTTGGTGAGGGGCTAGTGGTTTGAAATCAACAAAACCACTCGGACGAGTACACCCCTACTTAAGTGCTTTTACAAATGATAAAATGGTAGATATTAATTTTATTTAGCATATACTTTTTAATTATTTAGAACTTGTTTAAGATGCTTTAATTTAAAATTTAGAATTGTGATGTGTCAGTTAAAATCATTATTTATAACAGATTCCTGAAGGACAGCCTGAGTCAGATGAGATTCCTTTCAATCCTTCCACTTCCTAATGGCAAGTCAGACACCATTACCAGCAGCTTGACCTTCAAGAACTACAACTTCTACTCACCAAGATGTGTGCCTTTAGAAGTGAAGGGGCAAGTGTAATGGTTGGCCAGCGAGAAATGGTGTAACAGCTCAGCTGAGACAACTTGTCCCTCACCTGATCAACAACCATTGATTTGCTCATCGCCTCGCTCTGGCGGCAGGACAAGCATCAAAGGAACTCCCCTACCTACAAAAATTCAAAGACATCCTTGGGGACCTGTATCGATTCTATTGCAAAAAGTGTTGTTTAGAAACGGCATTGGGAACTGCTTAAAAAAAAGAAAGCCAGTTTTAAATAAGGAAAAACAAAAAATATTTTTTTTTACATGTTCCCTAAAGAAATGAAAAAGGAAATTTTTAAAGGAAAATTTCCAATTTGAGGGGTGAATTAAAAAAGGTCCTTTATTGTTGCTTCGGTCTGACTAAATGACAATTTTTTTTCTTTTCTTTATCTGTCTTTAAATTTTGCCCAAAAATTTTGGGAAATTTTAAATATGCTCAAAGCCCTAAAAAAAGACAAGATAAATTACTATTTTTTAAAAAAACACATCTGTTATTTAAGTTTTTCAAATGTTTTTAAAAATTTGCTACAACTGAATAATACCCATAATAAAGGGCCCAAAGCGGGTTTACGGGGCCCAAAAAAACTTGTCAGCAAAAA